AGACTTCAGTGAGGGAACTATTTTAGCCATTTTATCTAAAATGAGAAAGAATCTGCTCCTTATTTCAATGTCCTATACAGTTACTCCTGAACAGTAGTTCAGAATTGGAGAGAGTCAGATCAGTGTGCAGTCTGGCTTTTCACCTAAGACATACTTAACGAAAGTATATGTTTTGCATTCATTTCTGAGAGGCCCTATTCAAAACATAAATCTTGGGACCTTTTGGGAATGTTTAATCGGCTTTCTATCTGAAGATCTTTTAGTGCTAACATCTGAATTCTGAATTACGTACTTGAATTTGCCTTTTTATTGTCTTTTCTGTTTTTCTCTCATCTTGCAATAAAGTAGAACACCAAGATTGGTGTTATTTCCCTGAAAGTCATTTTTGTGATTTGGTGTGTGTTAGTAAGAACGAAATACTAACCTGCTCAGGTTTGCTTAGTAATTACGCTAGCTGTGTCATTTTTTCCATCATTTCTCAGGTTTCATTTCTCGTTGCTATCTTCTTCTAGAGTTCATCACTGGGTTTCCAAATAATTGGTGAAGGAACAAAACCAGTTTCATAGTCATTTAAAGTTACATGGAGTGTTTACACTGGCCTTTCCTTGGGGACATATTATAAACATGAGATAGTCAAGGCAATCTGATAATCTCATGATACTGTAAAGGGATGGTGGCTTCAGAATTTGTGAAGTAATTCTACTCTTTATTGTTATTTATCTGGTTATTGTACCTTGACATGTATTTCATCTTCTAAATTACACATATTCTATTAAAATGGCTTTAGGAGGCAGGTTGCTGGAAGGGAAAGGAGGATCCAATTGTTATTTTTGCAGTGACTTTCAGGGTGACACAAAATCCTAGCTTTAGTGTGGGACTAGATCCGCCCCTTATGTCCATTATATAATGCTGCCCTTTATCTGTGTTTTTATTTGGTCTCCCCAAAATATTAACCATAATCACAACAATAGGACAACCCCAGACATTTCTCATCAGGGAAACTGATAGCACCATCTCGATTGGAAGCTTTGTCTAAGTGGTTTGCCCATCCTGTCCTTGTCCTGTTTAGTTGGGAGGAACTATTTTGATAGTTTATTTTAATAGCTTTTAGGTGCACGTTGGCTTGATTTCATTGCTAGAGGTGAGAGAGAAAAAGAGACAGAAATAAGAAGTTCTGTTAACGTTTTTATAAAAAAGGAAAGAAAGCATATTGAACCCAATTTGAGTTGTGTTCATTCAGAGGCATGTCTGGAGTGCGTACTGCATACCAGACACTGAGTTAGGACCTGAAGGGCTGGAGACGCAGAAGATGCTCTCTCTCCCTGCAGAGGGCTCACAGTCTAACGTGAGAAAAAGACAAAATTACGATTCAGTGTGCTAAGTCCTAGGCTAGAGTTTAGTACACGAGGAGACTATTGAGAAAAGAGAAAAGAAGTCTTCGCCAGCAGTGGGGGTAACCAGGGAAGGTTTTTGATAGAGATGACAACAAAGCTGAGATTTAAAGGACAAGTAGGAGGTGGACAAACAAAGGGTATGAAGGACAAGGCGTTTCAGGGAGGAGCATGTATTCCTTTCGTCCAAGAGGTAGGGCTGGAAGAGAAAGACAAGAGATAGAAAATGAGCCTGAAGAGGAAAATGGAGGGGGTGTGGAGGTCGTACGCCACGTGAAGGAGTTTGTACTAAACCCTGAACACTCTGTGGGGCTCTTGCAAGATTTCTGACAGGACAGTGAGCTCTGAACACATTGCGTTTATCTCAGATTCCTCAACACCTTGTTCTTTTCTACCTCAGGGCCTTTGAACATGCCAGTCCCTCTGCCTTAAGAGCTCTTCCTCCTTCTTTTCCGGGCTGTCTCCTTAGTATCTTTCAGATGTCAGCTCTTAAGAGAGACCTTTCCCGGCCACTGTTTCTAAAGTTTTTATTATTTGTTTCCTTCATATTGTTTATTCCCTTTATAATTTTTAAAATAATTCATTTGTTTTAGATTTTCAGCTGTGTCTAATCCTAGACTGTAAATTTCCTGAAGGTAGGGACTGTGTCTCAAGCCCTTGGCCCAATGCCAGGCACACGGGAGGTGCTCAAGAAGTATTTGCTGAATAAATCATCAGATTTGCCCATCAGGGAGACAGCTCTGGCTGCAGAGTGGGGAGCAGATGAGAGGAGAAGCCAAGACTGATGACAGAGAATGTAGGAGATTGTCCTATCATGCTGGTGAGAAGTAGGAAGAGCCAGGGCCGCAGTTGGAAGGGAGAGATGGAGATATACATGGAGTGAAGAAACAGTATGAAATGGAATCAGTGGAGATTCGTTGGACGTGAGTGTTTGTAAGAGGCAAGATTCAGGGATGACACCAAACAGAAAATGAGATGAACAGTGGATGGTTCATTGAAGTAGGGAATTCAAAAGAGTAGGAACAGGTTTTTGGAGAGAAGAAAAGGAACTTGGCTTTGGACATGTTTGGTCTGAGGATACTCGTGGGCTATCTGGATAGAAATATCTAATAAACATTTTGATTTATGGGTTTGGAGCCCAGGAGAGAGATCTTGGCAAAAGATAAAGATTTGAGAGTCATTGGCCTATAGATTCATTCATGCACTGATTCAACAAATATGCACTTACTAACTGCTGTGTCCCAAGTATTAAATACAGTGGTGAAGCAAGCAAACATTTTTCTAGTTTCACAAATATCACAGTCGAGCCTGGTAGCTGATATCATGGAAATAAAGAAAATAACATAGGGAATATATATATAAGGAGAGATGAGTACAGATGCTGGAGAACACCAGTATTTAAGAGGTGGACAAAAGAAAGGGAACAATCAGGAGAGGATGATGGTTTGAATGGTTGAACACTCAGGTTTCCCCCTCCCAAGTCCTTATGCTAAACGAAACTAAGTTTTCAAAATAGATTGGTTGCTTTTTCCGGTGGCAGGATTAAAGTACGTTCACATTCACTCTGTTCAGAAATTCATTTTAAGTCATCCTTAAAATAAGGAATTTCACAGGTTGGAACTGAAACAAGTATCAGCCCGCAAGCAAGTGACGCAGACAGAGATGAGCAAGAGCTGGAGATCAACCCAGATTTTCCCACTCAGTTCTGAATTTCCTTGCTATTGTTATATGGGTCTTAAGTCAAACTTAATGTACGTTGTGGTTGGATTTCCTTTGTTATGGTCTGTGGGATAAACGTGATGTTAACGTTGTCACAGTAGAAAGAGATATTATGCTGTTTTGCCAAGACTTTGTTAGAAATATTTATTTATTTATTTGCTTGTTTATTTATTTATTTTTACTTCTCAGTTCTTTTAACCCAAGAGACAACACCTCAGGCACTTACCAAGTAGAAGTCAAGTCAACTAAATACCTGGGTGTGGGTTGTTTTAAGAGGTGAAATTTCTTAGGCACTTCTTCTAATGAATTTTGCCTTTTTAAAAAATTGTGGTGTATTATACATGATTCTTTTTTTCATTTTTTATTAAGATATAATTGGCATAAACATTCTGTGAGTTTCAAGTGTACAACACAGTGATTCAGTTTGTATGTACTGAGAAATGATCAGCACAATAAAGTCCAGTTACCATCCATCACCACACATGGTGCCATTTCATTTTAGAAAAGCAAGTTATGATTATTGTATATTCTAAAAATTAGAGCTGCTTCATCTAAAATGTCATAGATTGTATGTTTGATATCAAAATCGACTGAAAATTGTCTTTTAATTCTCAGCCAAAACATGTTTCTTATGCAAAAGTCCAATGTAACCAAAAGAAAAAGAATAATTTTTAGGTCCATTTATAATTCTACAAAGCATGGTGATTTTTTTTGGCATGTGTTTATGTGCATGATATTTAACAAATTTATTGGTGCATAAACTATGACACAGGTAAACTTGCTTCCTTTTAGTAGTGGGCAAAATCTTGCTTTTATCAGTAACATAAATCTTATTTATTGATTGTTTGTTGTACGTTCAGACTAGTCCTATTTCTTACATTGCGTTTCTTAAAAGTATGTTTCTTATTTCAAAGAACACTTATTTAAAAAAAATCCGTTCAGCCAACTACTTTTCCTTGACCCTAATTTTAAAGCAGATTACACTAGCCCTATAAACAGATCCCTCAACTGGGTTCTACCTGTGAGACTCAGAATCAGAAGACTTTAGAGGCAGAGAGGGAAATGACATTCATAAATTATGTATTCCTTGCCATTTATAAATATGTTCCTGTATATACCATAAAAATAAATAAGCAGTTGACAATTAGATGTAATATCAGATATCTTAAAGGACATTATATCCAGCAAAAATAAAGCAGATACAGAAATCAAAGAGTAAGTCATTTTGAACAATTAATTTATTATCTTTTCTCAAAAAATAAGGTTCAACCCACCCCTCCACAAAAAACTCTTGTCTCAAAACAAATATAAAGTTTTATTTGTGCTCAAAAGAATTTGTGTTTATGTTTCAAGGGTTGGGGCTTGTCTTTTGCAGTCTGACTTCTTAAGGATTCATGCTATGGTACCTGTAGAAATGAAGGGGTAACATCTTTAAATCTTGTTTGGTTTGAAGGAATGGATAGCTAATCCAGATCAGATGTTTCTTTAGAGAACAATGTTTAAAAACTGTTAGGGAATTTAGCTATCCTAGCTGATTCTTAGGTAGGCTGTTTTCATCCCGGTTGTGAAGGTCTCAGAGGTCAGCCAAGGTAACCATTTATTTTAAATCGTCTTTTGTTTCAGATTTCCTGTTGAACTTTTTTTTTTAACCATTTCAAAAATCACCCAGTTGTTGTGTCGTAGCTTTCCATAAGCTCCAGATTCAAAGATTCAAACCAAAAAACCATCTACATAACTAAATGACTCTACCCTCCTACGTGACTCTTAACTAGAGCAGAATATGAAATTAGACTTCACATTTTTTGATCACAATGAAACTAATATTTGAAATTCTCTTGTCAGATGTCTTCTATTTATGACACTTCGCTTCTTTTGTTTTTGTTTCCCCAGGACATTTGGGCTTCCAGGACAGTTTTGTCACATCAGGGGTTTTTAGTGTGACTGAGCTAGTAAGAGTGTCACAGAGTAAGTATAATTTTGCTTTGATTTGGTACAGATTTGCCTTGGGTTTGTGCTTACCTTTTGCCTAGGCCTCCTAAAGACATAAATACCTTTCAGAATCTCCTTTTCATACTCCCACTGGAAGAATTTTGCCACGTAGTTTGTTTGACAGCCAAGAATTTAAGTCAGGAAAAATTAATATCATTTTAATGTGAGACACAGGGAAAGAACTGAAATCCTGAGTGTCTCACATAGTCCCTAGTCTATAGTGTGAACCTGTTTTAAAAAAATTGAGGCTTCCTGGATTTCTAAGAAATTCTGAGTTTTAAAAGAATTTGTTTTTGACCTTTAAAGAATGCTAATGCCCTTAGCATGAGTGACACCGTGCAGCATGATCATTACCAGCTTGTCAATAATCACCAACAACAGTGAATTACGAGTACCTGTCACCACCCTGTTCCATTGATCAAAGGGTCATTGATTGTATTTTTGCTATGACATAATCCAGACAGTCCAAGGAGAAAGTATAGGATTCTCCCTCTCCCTCCCTCCACCCCATGTAAACACACACACACACCCCCCCACACTCTTTGTTTTTATTTAAAACCATACCTATATTACCCACAAAAACATCTTTGTTTTTATTTAAAACCCTACCTATATTACCCCTGAAACTAACATAATGTCACACATCAATTATACTTCAAAAAACTAATAATAATAATTTTCATCACACTTCAAACAACTTTGCAGGCCTTGAAAAGATCATAGGCCTTAGGCATTGTGCCTATTGTGCTTAATGGATTAAAATAAAAGTTTCTGGCTAACATTAAAAAAGTGTATGTACAATGACTATGGTGTTCTAGGTCCCAATACCAAGGAAAATTATACTAAATATTAAAATTTTATTTTTTATCCCCCTTCAACTTCAGAATACCACTGGTGGATAAAATTTACATTGTTGAAATTGGTTTCAAGCTGCATCAAATTCTTTGTGGAATGAGGTGGAGTAAAAATAAATATTTTTATTTCAAGTTCATACCCTCCGTTCACTGTATTACAGTCTTGCAAGCTTGACCGAGTAAGCAAGTCAATCTCATGATAAGATGTCAGGTCAAGCAAGCCAAGCCATCCTGATCTCACAGGCTCAGGTTCTTGTCTGTTCTTATTTCTTAAAAATCCAGAACGTGGGATACAAGGTGTGGGCAGGGGATCTGAGGGTGGAGGGAGAGTCTATCTGCCAAGCACTGTGCTAGGTTTTCATGTATGTTACATAAAATTAATCCTTGCAATAAACATGTGAGATTAAGAAATTACTCTCATTTTTACAAATGAGTTAAATCGAGGGTCTAGTTAAGTCATTTTTCCAAAGTCAAACAAGTGGGTAAAAAGTTAAGCTAAGTCTGTATAGCACTGAAATCTGTACTCTTAGACTAGCCCAAAGGAACTTGAAGAAATCTACAACCTGAGACTAGACAGGGAAAACAGCAGGAAGGTAACCATGGGTGTTAGAATTCTACAGTCGGGAACCCTTGGTTAATGCTGGGATGTGCTGGTGTAGGGGTTCAGAACCCTAAAGAATGAAGCATTATGAGCAGCAAGGTATGACTTGGAATGGCGAAGTTGTTGGCATATGATGAAGTGTGCTTAGAGTACCAACCAGCGAGCTGGAGAGAAGATTGCCTTGTTAATTTGGAGGATATGCACTGCCCTAGCACAGCCGATGAACCAGTTATTTGCCGTAGACAAATAAAAATGCATTTGTATGTATATATTTTTACTTTTTTAAGATCTTTAAAAGGTGATCATCATCGTACATTTTTCTTGCAATTTTAATAATACGAGTAATATAGAGTATATGCATTAGAGTATAACTGTCCTCATGGCATTACTGGGGCATACATTCATTCATAGAGCCCTTACTGGGATATAATCATAGCCTTAATGAGTGAAAAGAAAACCCTTTTAAGATTGGTGCACAAGACCTTTTTTATTCTACCCTTGCTGCTGTAATACGTACATTTAGTCTTCATTACCGTCAGTGTCCTGAGGCCTGGGGGTTTGTATGTGAAGGCCTTCACTGCTCAGAACCATCCCCAGAATCTCATCCTTCTTCCACTGTCTCTGTGTCCCTTTAAGGTCTTATATCCCAAGCCTTATCAGTTCCAAACTTGACTAGATTTCCATTCAGTCTACCACACGTGGTTGCCAAGGGAATTCTCAACCTGCCTTCGAGATTGCCAGGGGGTATGGCCGGACCACACACTGAATCTACAGAGGGACCTGGTTTGTTTCCTGTCCCTGTTTAGAGGGCTGTGTTGCTGATGCCTGGCATAGCGAGCATCCTTCGGCCCTTGAATGCTTTTCGATTCTGTACACTGCTGTGTAATTGCTCTAGGACTCATCACACATGCCCTCATGCTGACTGAAACTGTTTGGCAAGAGTGGGACTGGGCTGCGTCAGCTCAACCATGGCTTCTGGCCAAACTGCCATCCAGAGCCCCCTCCCTCCTACAGATCTTTAATCCAGGTTTGTTCAGGGTCTGTGTCTCGAGATTGCCTTGGCTGATGAGGGAAGGGTCCCCCAGCTCGTGTTTCCTCACCCAAACACCTTTCTGAAAGACGTAACACTCAGACCGTATGATGGAGTCAAAATCCTTAACCATTCCTTACGGCGCTGCCCACCTCCCCACATTAGAAGAGCTAAGCATCCATTCTAGAGGTGCAGTGGACACTTTTTCCAGATAAGTGGGGCTGGGATGCGTTCTGTAACCTTGAGATAGAAATAAGCTAACTGGCATGTAAGTTGATTAAATGCATGATGTTAGCCCTGGTAGGAGCATAATGTAACATATGAAAAATTACAGTAGCCAGCGTTTATCAAGCATACACCAAGTACCAGGCATTGTGCTAGGCATCATTCAGTCCTCCCATGGTTGCTGTTATTGTCCCTTTTTATAGATGAAGGAGTCGGTGATGCTCAAAGTTAAGAAACTTGCTCCTTTCACTTTACTGTACTCAGCTAGCTGCCTGTAGACATTTTTGTCATGATCTCTCCTATAACTGCAGTATAGAACTAAACAATCCAAAGATTCTGTGCTTTTATTAAATTATCATTTCTTATGAGAGTTGATAAACTTTTCAATTGTTAATATGTGCATCAAAAAAAAAAGTTTAAATGATTTTCAGTAAAGTAAACAAGTAAAATACTTAACAATTTTTTTTCCTGGATTTGTTTTCAGGTTTGATTTTTTTTTTAATGAATAGACTTTCAATATCGCTTCCTCCCCAGGTTCCTCTATGATTAACATCTTTCGTTAGTGTGGTACATTTATTATAATTGGTAAGCTGATATTGATACATTATTAACAACTCGAGTCTGTAGTTTACATTAGGGTTCACCCTTTGTGTTGTACATTCTGTGTGTTTGGACAAATGTTTTACAGTATCATACAGAATAGTCTCACTTCCTTACAAATCACGTGTGTTCCAACTATTCATTTTCCCACTCCCCCAACAAGTGATCTTTTTACTCTTTCTCATAGTTTAGCCTTTCACCTGGATGTTTCTCATGGGCTCAGTGTCTTAGAATTTCTTCCACTGTGCTGCACATTTCTTCTTAACTTCCTCCTGTCTAGCCCAGCCCCACCCAGTCCCCCCAGTCACACCTGGGACCACATACGTGGCCCAGAAATTTCACACTAATGGTGGCCTCAGCTTGAAAATTTTCCCTCTTCTGGATCTTTCGAATTCAGTTTTTAAATTTGCTAATACAAATATTGACATTCCCGAGGTTTCCAGTTCGTTTCTGTTTTTAGTTTTCCTCCTTTCAAATTTAATAGAGGAGGGAGATGCTATTTCAGTATTTCCTCATGAGGATTCACTGAAATAACTGTGCTAAGTTTGTTGATTATAATCGTGTTACTACAGGGTGGCCATGGCCGAGAAACTCAAGAGAAAGCTGCTGGCTTAGCCTTGCACATTCAGAGGCGAAGGGTCAGGCGACAAGGTTGCTTGACATGAAATCATCCTCCTCAGATGCCCGGGGCTGTTGGAATCAGGGCCTCCTGCTGCAGTCTCCCACCAGTTCCCCTCTTACCCTTGCCTCCTGCCTGCCTACCTTTTAATTTTTTGCATCATCCAGACTCTGTGAAAGGCAAGAAAGGAGAGTTCTGTTTCTCTTAGCAGCAAAGAGAGTACTGTAGCATAAAAGTAAATGTATATTCATTCTCCTCCTACCTTTTCCCCCATGTGCTAGGACCATCTGAAAGTAGTTCTAGTTATTTATTACTTTGTTCCGGGGGAGGGAGGGCGACATACAGACCACTAGACACGTTGCCAGAGAGAGAGAGAAGTCTTCTCTGCTCTGGGGGAGGGGGTTTATAAGTGCTAACGATGAGGTTCAGAATCATTAAAGTTGTTTTAGCATAAGACTGTGAGGAAAGAGACAGGAACCATCTGTTGAAATGGCTCTTACATGATGCTGCATTTTAAAACAAAGCCTTCTAGAAGCATTTTCAGATGGGTCTCTTTCCCATGAAGTTGCTACAAAGAGAGCCCACTCTACTGGTGGCTAAATTGATGCTGCTTAGATAGCTCTCTGTCAGCACCCTCTCTTGTTTATTTTGCACCAGTGTTTTCCTCAAAGTGTGTGCTTTTGAGGCTGTCAAATATCCTTCCTGGTATGCACCCAGAAAATCCTCCCGAAAAAATCCACTACTTCTGCCCATATCCTTCTAAAGTGCTGACTCTTTTTTTTGAAGTTGGTGGAGTGACTCTGAAACCTTAAATACTTCACTGGGAAAGAGGAAAACCGCAAATACACACAGGCCATTGTGACTCTGGCCTGACGGGTTCTAATTTTCTAGCAGTGGTTTGTACACCCGAGCTGGCTGCAAGGGTTAAGTAAACTTCGTGGCTGGGTATGATTTCATGGCCCTGGAATTTTGAAAAGCCAGGGTTCTCAGTACATTGTGGCCAGCCTTAGAGTCTTTGGGTGTGAAAACCACTCTCAGTTACCCAGA